TGAGACCACATTAGCTTATTTAAAATCACATCTTCCCTCCTTGTTTCTATTCACCATAAAAGCTAATTAAGGAACTACAATAGCCAAGGAAAAAAATATAAATGGGATAAAAAGCCAGTAGAACATTATGAACACCATACCAAATTACAAAGTTGATTTCAACTTTTATAACAAGGAGATGCTTTCTGCAGATTTCTTTCATTTATATACAAGTTATATAAAAATTGAATTTTCCCTTAAGCTTTGGAATATTCTCATACAAATATCACTGTATTTACTAGTTGGTTTTTAGACTCCTTTTTTATGCTGTTAAAACATCAAGTTTAAAAGCTAATGTTATGAATATAGTTTCCACATTAAAATCACATAATACACACATGTCTCAGTATTGTGCTACAGTCATATTCCTTTAAGAGCTAAGTACTTTGGATTCTTGTGTACTGAGTCATGAAGCACTTGTCGAAATAAATTCTTACACATGGTTAGCTTCCACAAATTGTAATTACTGAAATATAATAATATTTCTGTAAAGTATTAATTTATTGTACTAGAAACTTCAAGTGCAATTATTGCAAAGAGGTATTGTGGAATGCATACTATGCCGGAATCGTTATATTTAAATTCCCTTATGCTCATATATACCTGCTGAAATGGCTTGAACTAATTCAATTCTGTGGTGACTCTGCTGCTTAACTCAATCTCTTGAGTAATATCCGTAGTAAAGTCATTAAGGAACTTTACAGCTGAAATCACATATATGTCTAGACAGGGACCATAGCACAGGTGTAAGTTGAAAGGCTAACATCTATTTGAGCTTTGCCACAGCCACAGAATGTCTTTTTAAGTTACAATTTTAACTCTTAATTCAAAAAAATTCAAAATATACAAATCATTCTTTTCAGCTCAGCATCTATGCTTTCTCTTTTCCTTACCATGTATTCAGAGATACTCCTACGATAGAAGGCCAGATAGATTGACCACGCATAGAAAAGACTGATTTTTACTTTGGTCTTACTTCATTTGGAATATTCAGCGAATAATTAGTACATATATTTGTTTGCCATCTCTTTTTAGCTTTGAGCTTCATCAAATCAACATTCTAAGTCTGTTGGATTATGTTTGAATAGAGATAGAATTGTTTTCCTTTTACTTTTTGTCTTATATTTTATTGCTCATCCCCTGGGAACACAAAAATTAAAACTCAAAGGAAAACAAGAAATGTAAGGAACCGTAATTGAGGATCATCTGACCGCCAATGTTTTCTGAGCTGTTTCCAACTTGGTAGCTCTAAAACACATTTGATAAAATAGAATTTGCTTTAACAAATGAATATAGCACATAAAACACCAGGGTATCTAGAGGAAATAAAATTCAGTATTTTAGGCGTTTTCTTTTTTTAATGTGTATGTGTGTACATGTGTGTGTGTGTGTCTGCACCTACACATGAATGCACCCATGCATATATGCACCCACTGATTTACATGAAAACTGTGATTTTTACCTATGAATTGCTATCAGCTAAAACCTACTTTATGGAGATGGGGATTTGAGGTCCAGCCTTTGTAGAGGAATTGTTGATGGCTATGGAAGGAGGAAGAGTGGTGTGGTCACTGGTAGGTTGGTTATCCATATCCCTGTGGATGTCCCTACACCTGCGTGAGTATGGCAACACTTCCTTAACTCTGGACATTATAAATGTGAGAATAAAACGGGGACAACAGAGATGGAGTAGGAGGCATTAGGGAAGTGAGGGGGGTGGACATCATCAAAATGCATTATATAACTTATGATACTTTCTAAAACTTAAATAAAATATTATTTTTGAAAACTACTGTAATGAAAGAGTAGTTGTGAGAATTTGTGAGGAACATCTTCCACTAGATATGTCAACAAACACCTCCAAGAACATAACTGAATGTAATACTTTGTTCAAAGCAGGCAATCAAAGCAGTAAAGAACAACTGAAAGATTTAGTTTCTTCCTTTTCACTGTTAAGTCAGGCGAACATAACTGAATGTAATACTTTGTTCAAAGCAGGCAATCAAACCAGTAAAGAACAACTGAAAGATTTAGTTTCTTCCTTTTCATTGTTAAGTCAGGCATCTGTGATTGTATGAAACACTTAGCACACGCTTTGTCTTTCAGAGTATAGACATGGAAGGTGAGAGAGGGGGCAGGGGAGAGGGAGAGGGAGAGGAGGAAGGAGATGGGGAGATGTAGAGGGGAAGAAGGAAGGGGAGAGTGGGAGGGAGGGGGGAAAGGGAGAGGGAGTGAGAGGGGGAAAGGGAGAGGAAGAGCATTCTGTGATGATAACTGTGGCTCTCTCTCTCTCTCTCTCTCTCTCTCTCTCTCTCTCTCTCTCTCTCACACACACACACACACACACACCCCACACTCCAGACCTAGTGAGTATTCTAGATATAATATAGGGGCAATAGAGAGAGTATCACACTGAAATTCTTGTGTTTACGGAATGTCTGAGAATTTCCCTTATTTGTGGACTGTAACAGTCTGATTAAAGCATTTAGTCTTGCCAGTTGCTTTATAATCTCCCTGAGCTGAATTAAGCTTGTTCTATAAATAAAATAGGAATTCGGGCAAAAGCTATTTAAAGAAAATTATCCCCATAGTGTTGCAATGTTGGTTTTTTAGGTTGTATTTGTCAGATAGGTTCCTCTCTGTTACATGTATATATTTTTATGAAATTCTGTTTCCAGGAAGACTTTTTGAATTTGTCCTTCATCTAGCCCATTGCTTTCTATGTCTGCCTTTCTGCCTTGTTCTCAAGATATTCTTTCTTCAGCTTATAACTCACTTGAACTGGTACAGAGGATAGGGCCCATCTGTGCACTTGCTCCTTAGTATTTTGTACAATACTGGTTACACAACAATTCTTTTTTTTTTTTTTTTAATGAATGTAGTGATCATTCTGTTAGGTATGAGTCCACTCACCTCAATATTAGGCTTCTCATTTTCTAAAATTTCTTTTATTATATTAAAAAAACTATAGTTCTGATGTGCTTCTAAATGAGAGTTTTCTTCCAAACATTGCCACAAACGAAAAGAATATAAATGAGTACTTTGTCTTTTTCTCTTTTTAAACAGCCTCCATCGAAAAATCCCTACCAGACACCTCTCCTGGCAAGACCAACATGGCAATGCCTATGTTTCTCCCCTGGGAGCTTTTCCACTACTCTCTGTGAAAGTCTAGAGAGACAAAAGTCCCCATAATGACTTGGACACCTGGGAAGTTTCTTTCAGAGGCTCCCATGCCCTTCTCCCTCAGAAAGACAATCCCTTTATGAAGCTCAGCTCGAGATGGTCCCTGCTGCCAGGATTTAGACATAGAAATGGGACAATCAGCCTCCTATTCTTAGTTAGGTGTATGTTTTCACTTGGGAAAAGCCCTGGGCTTTGGGTTTCTTTAGAAACAAATGTACTATACGTTTGTTATTGCATTCCCTCCCTGAGCCTTGAGGGCTCCACAGAAGTGCATTGGTATCAGCTATTTTCTTACCCTCCTGTCTTTGTCCCTGTCTCTGTCTCTCTGTCTCTGTCTCTCTCTCTCTCTCTGTCTCTCTGTCTCTCTCTGTCTCTCTGTCTCTGTCTCTGTCTCTGTCTCTGTCTCTGTCTCTGTCTCTCTCTCTCTCTCACTCTCTCTCTCTCTCACCTCTCATTATAATTTAAACACAAACTACAAATGTAGGAGCAATGGATCCTTCTTTTGGTGTTTTGTGAATACAATTTGCATCATAGAGATAAAAATCCTTTCTGGTGATAAATTACTGGTAGGAAATTTTATGGTCTGACAGTACATGTTTAACTTTTTGTCAGACATGTGCTTTTAGTCATTTGTAATGATTCCACATTTTCCTATAATTTTCAAATATTTCCATATGAATGAATAACTGCTCATTTAATACTTGAGCCTTGGAATCATATATTATATCAATAGGTAAATTAATAGATCAATTAATCAATTAAATCAATAGAAAATTTTCAGCTTGAAGTGTGGGAAAGGAAATTATTGATTTTGATAAGTGATTTGGTTTAAAAAGAGGCAAGTGATTTTTTTTTCTTGAATCTTTCACCAAGAGTGATGGTGAACATTCCTGTGATGTTTGTTATACTCCAGACTCTGGTGTGTTTTCTTAAACACACAGGGCAGACTTCTATTATATGTACATATCTATAAGGAAGCCCAAAGCATAGAAATGAATCTGTACATTTACGCACCATAAAAAGTTTCATCTGGACTTTGGAAATCTTTCAAACTATTATAACCAAGCAGAAGATAAGAATGAATGATCTTTTCTTGGCTTAAAAATTCATATATATACGTGTGTGTGTGTGTGTGTATGTATATATGTATATATGTATATATGTATACTTGTGCATATGTGTATATGTGTATATGTGTATATGTATATATGTATACATATGTATCTATTACTAGTGCTTGCTTTTACATATACTGAATAGTAACTCTAAAAGCAAGGACTTGGGCAAATAGAGTATTACTTCTTTCTAGAAAATGTCCACTTCTTTATTATACGATTTAGTTAAATTTGAGTTGTTTAAAGTTGACAACACTATTAGTTGTATATATACTTTGGTTTTATGGAATCAAATAGGACCACATTAATTGTAATTTGTTTATTTCTAAAGTTATATAATCCCATAGATGACTTCACTTTAATTGGAGGTATCAAATATTGAAATAAAAAAGAATAAGAAATGACTATACATATCTGTACATAACAACAATTTTTTTTAAAGCCATGATTTTGAAACAGGGCAAGGAGAATTATATGGTTGGGTGTTAAGGGAGGAAAGAGAATGGAGAAATGATGAAATTATATTTTAATTTAAAATAATAAAAGGAAGTATAAAAATAGAAATGTCTGGCCTTAAGACACTCTGCTGAAGAGAGGAAAAAGGAGATAACTAGATCATATTGTGTGCATAAACAATTTCGTATTTTCTTGTCTTTGTAACAGGCACCATTTCTGTCAACACACTGCGCACTCCCTACACAGCTCCTGGAGAGAGTGAGATCCTGGACCTAGATGATGACTTGTATCTGGGTGGCTTGCCAGAAAATAAGGCTGGCCTGGTCTTCCCCACCGAGGTGTGGACTGCTCTGCTCAACTATGGCTACGTGGGCTGCATCCGGGATCTATTCATTGATGGCCAGAGCAAAGACATCCGGCAGATGGCGGAAATTCAGAGCACTGCTGGAGTGAAGCCATCCTGCTCAAGGGAGACAGCAAAACCCTGTCTTAGCAATCCTTGCAAAAACAATGGCATGTGCAGGGATGGCTGGAACAGATACGTCTGTGATTGCTCTGGAACAGGCTATCTCGGCAGGTCCTGTGAGAGAGGTAGGCATTCCAAGTTTTAGCAACTAGTCCCCTGCAAGAAACTTTTATTAAATTTCTATGTCAAGCCTGAATTGAAACTTCTAGTGACGTAACCCGTAGTCCGAATCCCAAGATCGTGCACAAGTGATTGAAGTACCTTTAATAGTTTTCAAAGGGCTTGGTTAAGTGTATCCACAGCTCTGCAAGTGTGCTTCAGATGTCTAACTCACAAACGATGCCTCTTTTGTCCAGTTTTTAACTGATCATGGTCGTACATACATGTCTAATTTTGTTTCTCTGCAGTCTCTGTATAGGCAACCTCCTTAGAAAAAGATAGATGTACCTGTTTTTCTCACCCTCTCCCTTTGTAAGAGGAGGAATGAGTGTTGGAAACAGAATGAGGATGGTGTCAACAGCGTCTATAAGGACCCGGATCATAGAAGAACAGATTCTAGCAAACATGTCCTTCCATCGACCCATGACTTTAGATAAATGGTTTAGTCACTATGCTCATTGTCACTTATTTTCTACAATGAATCTAAAAATCAATATGAAAAAATTTCGATGAGTTGATCCATCATCCTCTCATGGTACAAATAGCATCCCTCTGTGAGGTACTCAACCTAACCAGTACCATGTACATGAAGCCATGCACATTCATTTGCTTTCCTTCAATCTTAAAATAGCTCTAATTTGGCCTAAAAGTTTAAAAGGAAAAGGTAGGCATTTATAAAGTGATTTTTTTTAAATCTTAAATACATTGGCTTGTCAGCATGACTGTCAACACTAATAAATATTAACAAAGTAATGTAATTATACATTAATCTGTGTACCAAAATGCCATCAGTATTCTGTCAGAAGTAAAATCAGACAGGACAATAGATTGCAACACATCATGTAAGCATAGTCATTCCCCTTATGAGACTACTGCAATTCCTGTGAATTGACATTAGAGCCTAGCTAGTCCTGCCTCCTTTAGCTTGTTATGAGAATACTCTTTATATATTCCTCTTTCCCTTCTCCTTCTTAATTAGTTTGTTTATTTTGGTTTGGAAAACTGCCAAGAGAGAGGAACAAACGGCATAGCTCACAAAGTAAAATAGAGTTAGGTACAATATGAGATTACTAGACATGTATGAATTAAAATTTGGTTTCAATTTTAATCACTCAAAAGGATGCCGGTTATCCTGATGTCTCTTGGTTAAGTGCAGCTAGAGAAAGTGTGTAACTCTACTGCCAAATGAATTATAAAAGCCTCCAGTTAAATATGCATGGTGTACCACCCTGTGGCAGTATTCTGCTACTACATATGGCAAAATGAAAATAGAAATGCTAGAGCTTTTTGAGTCGGAAGGGGAGAAAGGGAATATTTATATACTGCTGTACTTAGAGGTAGAGACGGAAAGCATATACAGATCTCAAATAAAAATATAATAGCAAACATAATCACTAGGATTTAACATACATTTTAAATTTATGGTTAGCTGGGAATTTCTGCAGATCTCTGTCTCTCGTCGTTTCTTAGAATAAAATAATGGTATCGTGTTATTTTTGTTTTGGACTACAACAGCACATTGCAGGAAGATTTTCTCTTCTGCATTGATGCTTTACCCACATGACTGTGCCTCTCCTGAGAGCAAGAGTGATATAAGATGGTTGCCAGGCTCAATACCACAGAATAATGTGGCTTCTGTCCACTTTTCAGCTGTGTGCTAGTTCAACAAACACAAGAACTTCTGAGTTTCAAATTCCAGAGGAAATGTTTAACTCTGTCTCCTCTCCAGATACATTCATTCTAAAATAGATTGCTAATCATGAAAGTTGACCGAAAATTCGTGTAATTAAAAGACAGTTATAAAGTTCCTGTTTTAACATTAAAAATAAATAGTTAGAACATGCCTCAGTCTATGCAAGCCACATCATAGAATGATACTGCAGTTATGCTTAATTCCACATTATGAAAGCAAAGAAAAATACACTAGAAACATATCTGTGACTTACAAAGGAAGATAATATTTTATTCTATATATATTGATTCTTTAAGAATGATTAATGCAGAAATGGTGTCTTGCATATATATTAAATGTTGCATTTTCTTTATATGTCTTTTTAATGCAACGAGTTTTGAAGGTTAGATTGCATAAAAATTATTCTCAGTGATAATGTGAAGTGAGAGCATTGGTGTGACCAGAGGTCTATTGCATACTTGTTTGTTAACATTCTAACAGATGGAAGGACAGATGTCAGAGCAGTATAATTTGGCTCCCTGTCTGGTTTTCATCGTTGATCACAATATGTGACTGCCTTTCAGCAAACCTCAGCACAGGTGTACACTTCAGGCTGCAACCAGGAATAATGCAGAAAAGCCAATTTATCAAATCCAATGACAAGAAGGAGACAGAGAAAACAAAGTTGAAACTATTTTTCTTCCCTGCTTGGGAAGCAATGTCTTAGAAATATCCTTCTAAAGAACTCTTTTTTGATGTTCCAAATGATAAAATAATTTCTGCAAATGTTAAAAGATGCTGCCGAATAGCATAACCTTCAAATGTCAGAATGTTGTCTCACATTTATTTGGCACTTCTAGGCTCCAACCATGTGTATTTTCCATTTCTTGCCTAATTAAACATCAACTCTAATTATGAGGAATCGTTTATGCTTTCAGTTGTCATTTATCAACAAGTTATCTTCACATTGAGACTTGTTTGAAATGGCATATGGGGGCACTCGACTTCTATTACTTTACTATTAAGCCATTCCTGAAGCTTATTGGAGAACGGTAAAGGCTAATGGGCTTGATGTTTTTCCCTACTCTGGATGGTACTTCATAATATACTAATGACTAATCGTTGATTGTATATGCCTAAAAAGATGAGTTCTCAACTTCGTACTCAAATTGAGCTATTTATAAATAAAAATTAAGGTTTTAATAATATTATTATATAATAGAGTAGTTATGTATATTAAGCCAAATAAACTAATAATAGTTTAGTCCTTTTATCTACATGATAGCATAGTAACAAAACAATCTATAATGAATTTATTACTTTTATTGAATTATTTGTTGGTTTGCATGATTGACCAAAGGTTAGGCAAGGGAAAATTAAGTATCAAGTCTCCCTTAAAGTTATATCGAAACCCTTTAGAGCTCACTGTGAGCTCACAGTCAGGCTTTAACCATTGCCTAGGCAGCTACCACCTGGTTGTCTACATTGACTTCTATGGTTTACAACATTGTCCCATGGAGAAACTTCTCATTTAATTTGAAAATTTGATAATATAAAATAAAATGATATATTTTAAGATTATATTTTATGTTCTCAGCTATTAGAGCTATGAATAACAACAGGTATAACATCATAAATAAATCCTTTTGTAGTTTAACCTTCAAATTAGACTGATTTTTTTTTTGTCAGACATTACGAAACTGACTTGGTCTAGTAGTAGGCATAATAAATGCTTTATTGCTCTGGGGAGTGTTTATACAAGCTTTGTATCCACATGCCAAAAAGATCTTTCAGGTGCTTTTAGTGTAGATGGCACTTGCTAATTCAAGAAGCATTTATGGGGTCTCTGCTATGTCTGGCTCAGTTGCTTGATGGTGCCTGAGTGGTGAACAACTGATCTGCTTCCTCGGGGAGTTTTTAAAAGAGCCGTTGCAGATAATACCATCCAAAAAATGAGAAGTTACAATTGCAAACAAGAGGGATGATAGTTCATTCTGAGGAAGGAGCCATATTGTCCAGAAGAATAGTTCACCAAAATCCAGACTTCTGAAAAGACCTAACATTAATAGGTAGAAGTTAAGAAGTTTCCATATACAGGCATTTCTGAGTGCAAATGTTTCATTAATGGATGGACTTGGAATGCATGGAACAAACAATTAGCGACACTGATGGTAAAAGCTGAGGGCAGAGAGATTCTAGTTGCAATAGAACTGTAGCCATATGTTTTAACCCAAAGAATGGCCTAACAGGAAAGGATTTCCTCTATAAGGGTTTAACTTGGCTGCTGCATGTAGAGAGAAAGGACAGGCACAAATATACCACATAGGTAACTCTTTTAGCTCTCCAGGTAAGATGAGAATGGAGATTGATATAGTTTAGCTATGAGAGTAAAAAGCAGCCAACCAAGACACAGATTGTAGTTATAACATGAAGATATATAAATGTGAATACAGGCTGCACATGGCAGAGAAACTAAGAGAAACCCACAGGGTTGTCCCTGGACAGTAATGTAACTATCTACTTACTGAGATGGAAATGATCGGAGAAGCATGTTTGGAAAGTCCTTGTTTGGAGAAAGGTGAATTAAGAGTGAGATTCTAATTACATTTTAAGTGAAGATAGGCAAGAGATGGGGAAGTGTCCACCAAAGTGACTACGGGGGAGCGCATGCATTGCTGAAGATCCATTAATCCAGAGCTGGATGGAAAGATCAGAATAGGTGGAGGGAGTCCTGGAAACAATGTATAATACTCAGAAATTCCAGCTACCCATTCAAGCCTTGAATGGAAACAAACGATAAGTTTCTTAGAAAAGCTTCTGTGCTGACTTTCTGAGAGAAAAACTTTGAAAGTCAAACCAGAAAGGAATCGTAACAATGAGCACAGTCACAGTCATAAAGCTATGCTGCCCACTGGTAAAGCCAATGGCTATGCCATGTAAATAACGGAGGCAATGCATTCTCTCTCTTACTTTATTTTCATTTTAGGTAGTTTTTCTTTTATTAAATGGCATTTTGAAGTTTGAATTACCAGAAACAACAGGAAAGCAACATGACTCAGACTTGTCTCTCAGTGTCCCACCACCGTATGGTATTGAACACTGAGGGGTGCTGTTTCTTAAGTAGTCTGGAGCCAGCAATTTTACTACTGATTCCTTCTTGTCTTTGGTATAGTGTTGTGATTTCCACGTTCCTTAATTTAGAAGCATACCCACACAAATCCAAATCCTATTCTTGGCCGCACCCATATCTCATCTATAAAGATACAGATGCTTTGGTGATAACTCAATATTTAGAACATCAGGTTTGTTCTTATAAATTATGTCTTAAATTATTTCTTACTTGCAAAGAAGGTTAAAATAACATTATGTTTTAAGGTGTCTTAAAAGCTTTTCTCATTAAACACAGTAACACAGTAGAAATCTCATTGCTTATTGGATGAATATTAGCTTTGATAGAGAGGATGATATCTACATTTTAGCAATGTATCAATTTTAGAGTACATGATGTGAAAAAAATATTGAAAGTAGCTTCCATTCCCAGGGATTTTCCAGACAGTCCTGGTCTTAGATATCTTCCAGGAACATCCTCTTCAACTTTTGCTCACGCAGAATCAATCAGAGCCACAAGACTAACTAGTCTTGTAGGACAGTTAGAACTCCCACTGTCCGTGCACACATACATCATTGCAATCTTTCTAGCCAGGCTTACTCTGTAGCTCTTCAAAACAATACATCCCATGCTTTTTTTTTTACAAGGGAATTTATATTCATAAATCATGTATAGCCCCATATGGTCAATGCTATAGTATATGCAATTGGTAGAGGGGCTTTCTGATGGTTAGTATATCCGTAACATATGAGGGAGTCTGCTAGGATGTCTCTTGACATTACAAAACGAGAAACTCATTTCTGAATCAGATGAGAGGGTTTTCCTATTGACGTACTGAAAAAACAAAAAACAAAAAACTCAGCAGCCTCCTCTTTCGAAAGTATGTGTGCACTACACTGACACAAACTGAACTGAATGCATTTCCTCCCATAGAGGCAACGGTTTTGAGCTATGATGGAAGTATGTTCATGAAAATTCAGCTTCCGGTGGTGATGCACACCGAGGCCGAGGATGTGTCCTTACGGTTCAGATCCCAGCGTGCATATGGTATCCTGATGGCAACCACTTCTAGAGACTCTGCGGACACTCTCCGACTGGAGCTAGATGCAGGGCGTGTGAAACTCACGGTCAATCTAGGTAACAACAATGCCTTCCGCAATTCAGCTAACACTTCTCACTTTTTGTTCAGTTTTGCCTGCAAACATTTATTGACTAGCCTGTTTGCTGTGGAAAGTAAAACAGTTGAGTAATGCTTTGGTGGGCATCACTTTTTTTATGTTCCTCATAATTTAGTGTTTTGTGATTCCTATCAACAAGGCTTCGGAGAAGCACTATCAGTGAGATGAAATTTGAAACTTTGAATTATGAGGTTTTAAGATGCCTCAAGCTGAATTGTTCTTGTTATATTTTTTGATGTTTCCATGGGTCATAGATGACACCCTTGCAAAAACAAACGTCTACATGTGTTAAATAAGATAACATGCACATGGAATATCTAATTCATACTTGTTCCTAATTCCTCCATGGGCTTCTCCTTTGATAGCCATCTTTGTGGTCTCCATCTCTTCTGTTCTGAAGTGTGGGATAATTTGCTGTTATTCAGCAATCCACAACCCTTCAATGCCCAAAGTCTGCGGCCCTCAGCAAACAGCCATGAGAACAGTAAGGACACAGGCTCCTTTACAGACAGATAATGCTTTCCTGATTAATGGCATCATCAACAGGGTTGCTACAGTAAAACCTCACCGATCTGGATGACTTATGGAGTGAAAAAATCAAAGAAAACATTGAATTGTAGAATTTTAAGAGTTGAACATTTTAAACTTTTTATTTAATTTAAACCTCAAATTAATATAAGCAGCTGAAGCTTGTGAAGTGATGGGCTTAGAGGTTTACTTCAGTGAATGGAGGTGAAAGGTCCATCTATAACAAGATCCCTATTTTCTGCAAGTTCTGCCATTAGCTTCTCCTGAATCCTTGAAATTATTTTTCTACCAGAGGTTGGCCTTTCAAAATCTTCTTTATTCATAGGTACCCTCCCCAATAATGTCTTTGTACCAAGGGAAGATATCATATTCTGCCCAATAAATTTAATATTATCATTAAATTCAAATAAATGAAAATGAATGAGGTTTTACTGTACTTCTTGACACTATTAAATATACATTCTCTTTCTGTTGTGTGTGCACGTCTGTGTGCATGCACACACACACACGCACGCACACACACACACACACACACACACACGAATCAGGAGAAGATTAAAACCAAATTTTGCAACCTTGTAGATTTACTTTTAGAAAGATGATGTGAACAGTCAACCCATGACTTTCATGACAATCCTACATTTTCAAATTGTGATGGGTACAGTATTAGCTTAGAAAATAGAAAAGTAACTCATTCTAGCATATTGCATTTAATTAATTCAATTAATACAAGTTTAATTAAGTTTATTAGTTAAACACACACACACACACACACACACACACCTTTTTATTGTTCTGTTAGAGTTCCCTCTAGTGAACATTATAGGGTGCTACAAGAAAATTGAATAAATGGCTTAATTTCACCAAGAGGCTGTTATGTTGTTCTAAATGAGAACACTTAGAGAGATCCTCACCAGCAAAGCATTCTGTAGAATGAGTTGTGTAGCTGCTGGTCCTTGGCTGTTTGCAACCACTTTTCTGATGCGGTTGACGACACATGACAAACTTAGCTATATGGACACAGAATCTAGGTTTATATTTTCCACGTCCCCAAAGGCAATAAATAATAAAACAAAAATCCCAAAATGTATCTATCTCTCCATAAAAACTTCTGTGTAGTTCTTTAAAAGTGCTTAACTGTGTTATCCACAACAGAAATTCTGTTTTTATATCTGTTTTCATATGAAGTGAGCATACAAAAGAAAAGACCAGGAATGTAGTGTGAACTTGCCATACAATGCATAAAGACAGCTTTGTTGGCTCCTAAGCAAGGCCTAGGCCTGTGTGCTCCATGGGACGGCTACTCTACAGCCATTGTATTTTCTAAGGGTCCATGCAGTTTTTCTTTTCTCCCTCTGTGAATACAAGCAGAAATATACATACATACTAGATTAAGAAAAGAATAATTTTAATTTGTTTTTCCATTTGACTGCTATAGTTGTAAAGAATTCTGTGAGCCTTTGTGGGATATTAGATTTTGGAAGTCCAAGATGTCTGAGCCTAGCTGAGCTTGCACTGTACCCCATTGTGACGGAGCACTTTTAACTTTTGGTGAAGATAATAGTCTGTTCTTTCACAGATGGGGAGAATGTTGCAACCGGTCTAAGCCAAGCATCTTTGACAGTTAACTACCTCTTATGTCACTTAGATTTGTCACCATGTAGCTCTGTTTGAATTGGCCATATTATTAAATGTTCTCTTGTTTTTGATGGTACAATTTCATTACAATAAATCTGGGTTCTAGAAGTCTATAAAGAATAATGATATGGAGTGGCCAAATTTGCATGTGTCTGTCCCCAGAAGGGTGGACTGTAATTTTATTGGATGTCTGCAGCTATTACCTTGAAGGATAAATATTCATTTTTCATCTATTCTTCCCCATCTAGATTGTATCAGGATTAACTGTAATTCCAGTAAGTGCCAATTCAAAATTTTTAAACTGTTCTTCCTCCATTACAATGTAAGCTAGTCAAGGAAAAGAGAGAGAGAGAGAAAGAGAGAGTAAGAGAAATGCATTTATAAATCTCATGGTATCACTTTAAAGCAGTCCATCATCTGGGATGTAAAAATTCATTTTATATTTAAAAAGGGTTTCCCACTAAAGTTCCTTCTCCTGTTTGGGAAAGTAGTGGCATGCATTTTGAAGTAGAAGACATTTGGACAGATCTTGAGGTCCAATAGTTTCCTTCATAATTAAATAGAAAAACATGCCATGGACCTCATTTCGTCCTTTTGCTATCCCTTAATTTAAATATATAAAAGAGATGTCTGACTTATTTTGGGAAATGTTATCCAATCTTCAAAATGACACAAAGATTTACATAGACACAGTGTGTTCTTCCTTATCATATGCTCTTAGAAAATCATGAACCAGAAGAGTTCATTCTTGATTATTAAGAAAATTTACGTGTTGAATTTTTACATCCTGATCATATATCTACAAAAATAACTAAAACCATTCAAATATGTGATATGCATGATAAATTATGAATCAGAAAGATGCATGGACTGAGTTTTATTTCAATTTTGATGGAGATGGGAAAGATACAAGGACTGTGGTTTTATTTTGAGCCCTAGCATTAAGCAATACGTAAATTGATTACAATTCTTTTTGTGAATCTTTAGATTTTTCTTTTCCAGGTTTTGCTGACCATATAAAGGAAGCTCTTCCAATGGCCACAAATTCAATAGCTATGCAATAAAATGGTTTTAGAAAAGCTCTAATCTCTCATTGTTGTAGTAAGATTCTGGTCTCTGCCCCTGGAAGCAGGCTGCCTGTGCATTGCTGGCAAAATAACTTCTCCACTAAAATGCATTTTATTGCGTATTCTTGAGCTTCTACACAAGCGATCCATATTTGTCCTCATGTGTGGTAATATTTTTAATCAAAAAAAGGTGAGTCTGATAAATCATTGAATAAATACTAAATTATAAACGACATCAAGCCATGCCAGGCACTTAGACATTATCATAAACAAAATAATTCCTAAAAAGTTATCTCTCTGAACTTTAATCCAAATGCAATTTCAAGTATGCATCTCTTCCTCTCCAGTCATTATCTTTGATAAGTTGCTGAAAAGTAATTTTGTAGGTTTGATATATCTGATTCTTTAGGCCTGACGGAGAAGTGCAGACAGGCGAAGTGACAGCCATAGAGTCTTTTTCCATACTTTAGGAAGTTCATGGAATAATTTTGAAGACAAAGATTTTCACCAGTTAGTGATTTTTTTTCCCTTTAAAAGTAGTATGAGTTGCACCTGAATACTTGAACTACATGAATGGATTTCATGCTCTCAGCGTACACTTCAGACAGGACTGGAAATGGCTTAGCTTAACTGTAGTCACTGGAAGAAACATTCAATGGTCAGGTAATGTTCCCATTTTCTTTCGCCTTTGTTTTATTTGGAAAGCAGTGGGCGGATATAGTGAGTTTCATAAAGATGAGTCAAATCTGAAGATAGTTTGGAATTTACATATCTAATAACATTCACCTATTTTCATCTGCCCTGCACATGGTAGTTAGTCAATCAAAAATTAATTAGAAATATTTGCATCTCAGTCAAATTTCAAAGAGCAATTTATTTGTAGAACTTCTGTGAGCCCTAAGCTTGTCTGACACTTTTGCATAACATCACTGTCTTGAAATATTAATATGAAGCACTTCAATTGATATATTTTAAGAAAGCTACCACAGGCATTAAATGGTCTATAGCAACAACAGATTTCCACACAATGAAGACAAATACTCTAAATTGTTTCACTTAAGTAGAAGCCATCTGAGATAAGCTTTCTATACATTTACTTAGAATTGCTTGGCAGTTTCTATAGCACCCCCATTTCCATCCTCCTTTATCTAGTCTGACATTGAAAGCTGGTGAGTAGAGAAAAGGACATGTCTGGGCATTTTCAGCCCTTCCCTGTAAGAGACACCTGCTGTGTTTCTTCCTTTACAACGCCCACATTACAAGTCTAGATGTAGTTCTAGAACCTTCTGTAACAGGCAAACAAGTTTTCCTCTGAGAAAGGACAGAAATTCCAAGAACTGACTGTGTCACATTTCTTGTGGCTGTTGTTTGAGTGTTTCAATCTTTTGGATGGTAAAGGAAAAGTGTCCAAGACCCATTGGAGTTCACTGCTGATGTCAGTATGAAAATATGATACCTGAACTTTAAATTTAGAATGTGGAGAGTTTGAAATCCATAGGCTGACAGGTAAATATGAGCATCTATGATCCCCTCTGTCCTCTGCTCAGGATAAAGGAGCAGAAAGATTATCTTTTCCTTATTTCCCCTATTATCAGTCACTTTTCTGTTGAGATAAGCACCCAGACCATAAAGAGCTTAGAGAGAGTAGGATTTGTTGGGGCTTGTGGCTCCAGAATCCATTGTGACAGGGAGGCCTGAGCAGGCTTTGCTGCTCTCATGGTGAAAGAAGCAGGAATCTAGAACATCACGTCTTCACATGCAGAGTCAATCAGAAGTAAGAGGAAGCTGTCCAAACTAGCCCTCAGTGACATACTTCCTCCACCAAGACTGCACCTCGCAGAATTTTCCCACATATTGCCACCAAATAGGAACAAGTGTTCAAATGCCTGAGATAGGGGAGGGACAATTCCAATGCAAACCACACCCTGACTTACTAATTTTGTGATACAATTGCCACAAAACAAAAAAAGCCTGTCTACCACCTTTTAGTGAAGATAATTTCTTGGTGAGTAAAGATGGGTAAGAACTGTGAATTCACATACATTTAACATAAAGATGAAAAATATTTGAATTAATTGAAAAACCTGTAGATCACTTGACAAAAACCTTCATAAAGCTATACTAACATGGACTAAATAATGATAAAATATTGTCAAACACAGTGTTTTTAGCTGAAGCCTCAGTCACTGGCTATAAAATAATGGCATGAATATATGAGTATTCTGCAACTTCTTGACTGGTATATATTATTAAATGGCTAAAATTCTTTTTAATATTTGAAAAATTGTAAATGCATGTTTCTGCTCCATGTAAAATTTTTTCAAATGCATTGTCTTTAAGTTTGGCCAAAATCTGCTCCCATTCTGTTTTGGGCTTCATTGCACAATCCCAAAGCCTAGTTTTCTTCAAACTTTAAAGTTAGCAAAAAGTCTGGTTTCAAACTGGAGACTTAGTGATTCTACACAATATATTCAAACTGACACATGATCATGATTTTCTGAAACAATTGCCTTTGTGGTGCTATATTGCTTATTTGATACTCATCATTTTGATAAGCACCTTAGAAATGTTTAGTGTGATAATCTTTGAAGGTTGAAAATATTTGAAAAATTGGAAGCCAAACTTGCACTTCTGGCCCATGAGTAATTTCTAATGGTCATGGATGTAACTTCTTTTATTTTGTAGTGGATATAGGAATTACTTAATGAGGTGTTTTTGCTTTTTTGTTTGTTGTTTGTTTTTTGATGGTATTTTAAATAGTTTTTGTTTTTCCATACTAGTGATATAACTACGGAAGGTTCTTCTTGCTTACAGGAAGTCATGAAGCCACTAGATCAATGGATTGTGGGTCAGTTTGTGTCAGTGATTGTGGGTCAGTTTGTGTCAGTGTGTGTGTGTGTGAGAGAGAGAGAGAGAGAGAGAGAGAGAGAGAGAGAGAGGAGGGGGGCGGGACCAGGGCAGGGATAGATACAAAGACAGAGACAGAGTCAGAGTTAGCACAGGTCCTTGTAAAATTACAGGTTAATGCTAACTTTCTTTCTTTATGGTTGGTTCTCCACCCTTGTTTTTTGAGACCAAGTATCTCACTACTCTTTGAACTCAGCAGCTGGGTAGACCCACTCGTTCTTAGTGACCAACATGGAAATATCCAAGCCCAGGTGTTTGCAGTAATAAGCATTTACTGCAGTGCCCAGGTATTCTGTGAATGCTGGAGACCCACGCTCAGGTCCCTCAAGCATTTCACTTAGTAAACTATCTCCCCTACCTCCGAAATGGATTTTAATATATCGGTGGTCTGTGCTTTGCTTGTTTTCATTTTCTTTCTGTTTGTGCTCTATGTTGGTCTCTTCTCCCTCCCTGTTCCTCCTTCCTTCCTCCAGCTTACTCCTTCCTTTCTATGCCTCTACTGTGCCTTTCTCCTGCTCCCCTTCTTGTTTTTGTACAAGAGTAAAAGTCACTGGAGCTAACTCAATTACTTTAGTAGGCTTCACTTTCAACTCCTTTTGGCTTATTACACAAAGTGATTTATCTAAGGTGCCTAAACAACAAAATTAAACAAGACATTAATGTGGATGAAATGTCAAGGGTGTAAGTTCAGTCTTTTTACAGCACAACACTCAAATCCTGGAGACAAAGGAAATCTAGAGCCCAGTGCTTATCCTCACTTTCAACTTGGCAGAGATAAGCAAGATTTTGAGCAGCATTGTTATTGGAAAATGTACTTTGATGGATGTCTGGGGTGGATAATAAGATCTTTATATTATCATTTTATTACCAGAATGAAAAGATCAACTGGATATTAGTTTTCGCCAATTTTTCTATGTAGATAAAAATGAAAAGCAATAAAAGAATGTAAAATGTCAACCTGAGGCACTTAAGCCATTTTAGATTGCAGTGATCAAGCTGTCGCTTGGAGAGCAACTTAAAAAGCAAGGAGCACATTCTGTAGTCTAGCATGGATGAGAAGCAGCAAATAGGCATCTCCAAGCTGCATGGTCCCTGCAGAGCAGAAAACTTTACATGAAGGTTTCTGCTCTTTGTCCCAGTACTGGAGATGGTTTTATAGAGTTTATCTGTAATTGTCACTGAATGACTGGTGCTGCCTAACACCTAGGTAGATGATGGTGATGAGAGAGCAGATGAAAAGAAAATGCAGAATATTTGTTATTGTTGTTGTAGGTATGTACAACAGAAAGAAAGATAAGAAA